AAATTCAAGAACAAATTTTGACGAATGTTTTAATCTTTCGGGATATCCGGTAACCCGAAAATGCGTTACTTGTGAATCAGTCCGATGAAAGGGGGATTACTTTGTATTTTAAACATTTTGCTATTCTATCGCTCATCTTGGCGGACAAACGTGTGCCCAAGTGCTCCAGTCTGGGAAAGGTAAGCGATTTCAGAGGAATAACTTTACTCTTGGAGGCAGCCCAAACTATTCTCAACTATACTACACATCCATAAGCTCCCAGGCTAGCATCAGAAAAGCTATGGAGTTCTGCTTTTCATATCTATATTTAATATTTCTTCTAAATAGTAACGGGAAATTCTGAGGGGTTCAGTTTCTTCTCAGTAGGCTTTCCAGTTACAAATAAGACCAGATGGTAATATATCACCTTAAACGATTTTAGCAGTTCAGATTTCCTGAATAAAACATTTCATTCTTAGTCAAAGGACTGTAGAATCCACCAGTACCAAAACTACGGCCTGCGGTTTGCAATAGAAAAAGTTTGGAGTTTGGCAAAGGGATGAAAATTGTTAAATACTCAGTGTCAAAATTATTCATATTCCTGAAAATTCCTAGCATTTTGATCGGAACAATTGCAAAAGTCTAGTATCCAAAAGATTTCGAAACTTGTTTTTGGTTCTTGTTATAAATTTTGTTGACCACCAATAATATTGTCAACAATAAAAGCAATTGTTTACGAGTTCTGCTGTTTCAGGATACATTTTTAAATATTTCTAAAAGTGATGCTTAAGAGCAGCAGCAAGCAGAAAGGGACTAGATTTTAACCCGAATAAAACTCTTACAAATCTAAAAGTTTTATAGTTTTCATTACTACCATAACGATAATCCTTTCAAAAGAACAGTGTAACATCCCCATCTTCTACTACCTTTAGCTCTATCTGAAAAAAGATTTGTGTAATGTTAGCAGTAAAAGCTATCAAATGTTGTCTAAATTGTACCGGTAAATTAAAAATATCAGGATGCAAGTTCAGGCTAGTCTATAAACAATCGTTTAAAGAAGGTCTATTTGGTTAATGAGTTGAACCATCATAAACTGTCTTTTTGTTACGTTATCGTTTCTGATTTTGATACTCTGTGAGGTAAATGAAATAGGGTCTTATCATTTCGATCGCCTTTCTCAACAAGTTCAATAGTATGTTTAACTCGTAATCTTTTAACCTTTCTATAGTGAACAAACACAGTGCTGCAACTTTGAATGATTTAAGTAATTAAATATCAAATTTAAGTGAAGTATTCCTGTTGTCGTCTATTAAATGCTTTGAATATGGTTTTCACGGTAATCTTGGTATTTACCGTTCTTGTACTTGACATCGGATTCCAAAGATTTCATAATTTCTAATTTTTTTTTACATTTTTAGCGCTTAGCGCTCCGCACGTTTTTGTACCACTGGCTACCAGAAACTCCGGCACATTTTTGCAGATCCAGAATATCGGCATAAATCTTGTAAATATTTTACTAAAGAAAAGGGATGTGACTATTCTTCTTAACCACCTAAGTAATGCTACTGTGGTTGCTAATTTCCCTGAAATTCTTTTAATTTTACCTGTAATTATCGAATAGTAGAAATCTATTCTTATAAGAATGTGAATTTTGTTATTTTGCTTACAACAGTCAACTAACTGTAAATTTTCAAAGCTTTGTTTCTTTAACAAAATTTAAATCTCCGGGGGGGGGAGTTTATTTGATCATGGCAGAGCACTCGAGGACTATCTGCCCAAAGGGATACGAGGATTCATGGAAGCCTAAAAGGTACTGGCTCTAATACACTTTTTTTACACGTAGGAAAACCCCTAAAACACCCGTGCAGGCAGCCCGCCGCCGAGGTTCGAGCCCCGGACCGAACTAGTGTTCAGCGGCTTTTCCGCTCAACCGCTGATGGGCTCTTAAGTCTGGGGAGAAGATATTGCTAAAGATATTGTTTTTAGTAGTTCAACAACTATAATACGATAGAAATGTGATATTTTCTAGTTTGCTTTAACGACATTTAATGTCTTTTCTAGCGCAGTTTGATCTTCAAATTAGTTAACAGAAAGTGATTCTTTTCTAATGATCGAAAGATTAATCTTTCATATCTAAAGGAATTGATACGTTTATTATTCCATTATTACGAATCAAAGCAGAAGTTTATATAGATCTGTTTTCATTGGGATTATATGACGAAACTGCGGAAATTTTATTCCAATCCAACATTTTTTCCATTTTCTTTTTATTCTGATGAAATAAAAATCGTTTCTAAATGTTTGTTACTACAAAAAAATGCGTTATACTTTTTGCTAGCAGTCTTAAATTGTGTGCTTTCTATCTAAACACACAAAACACACAACACACAAATCTGCTTGATAAAGAAATCTGCCGTGATTTTTCAAAAGCTCCTTCCCCAAAACTTAAGATTTCGCAATCCGCCGATTGATGATTTCCGTCCTCGCAAAGGGGACACTTGGAATCGGCTGACTCCGCTAACAACTCAACTGTCGATGGCTTATTTGTTTTGATGGAGGAAAGTTTCGCTTTGAAAGATGGTAACTTTTCTAATCACAAGAACGTACCTTTTGAATTATGAATGATAGGTGTGCTTTCTCTGCTGAGTATTATTTCGTTTCTCCAAGTCTAATAAACTTTTTAAATTTTCGGCTATAATCAAGAATGAATTCATCGGAAGCAATTTCAGCATCGAAAGGCGTTCAAATATTTCCGAATGAATCTGTCTATTTTTAACTCTTCAAGACTTCATCGGCGTTTCGGTGTGATCGAGAAGTTCCCTTGCTCCGTTTTCATCATTAGGATTTCTAACAGGGGAAATAATTTTGTCCTAAATGCGAATTAAGATGTTAATTTGTTCAAATCTGAAATGCAACAGTTCAAGAGCAGCATCATAATTATTTTCAACAACGAAACCAGAAATTGCTTTGGCGGCCAAGCAACCAAGAAAGCTTAAGTAAATTAGTTTTTCTATTTCTTAAGCCCAGCTTTTCATAAATCGTACTTTCCTTTTCAGCTACAAATTCTAACCAATACGAAGGGTAATTGTAATATTTATGGTCAATCTGGGTAATTTTATGAGGATTCTAAATACAACAAAACTAAATTAGAAACTGTGTATTTGAAACAAAATTAGAACGACACCTCCTTCATTATAATTATTACTCCTAGTACTTTCTGGTAATTCTTCTATTTCAACAATTAGATTGATACTTGTCCGCCAGCGTACGAGCGGTAAATTCGCTGAACACTGGTAGTCCGGTCCGAGGTTGAAATCCCGCAAACGGGCTGGCTGGATGAGCGTTATGGTTTTCCCCATGTGTAACATGTATACTAACAAGTTTCCCTTCATTCTCCCCGAAGGTATCCTTTCCCTTAGGCAGATAACCCTCGGGCTTTGTAGTACTCTCATAAACCAAACTAAACCAATCGGGATACTCTTCTGTGGAATTAATTTCCACATCAAAATTCTTTAAATCTGTTTCTTTTAGTATAGAATTGTCAGTTTGACATTTCCAATTTAAGTATTCAAATGATAAATACTGCTTTTAAATTATTCACGGTTTTATTTTCTTTAATAGTATCTCTTTACTGATGAGCTTTGTGACGGATTTTTCACTAGCTGTTTTCCAGATTATTCAATTCCATTGCACATAAAGCAAATGTCTTACTTTTTTATATGTACTCTATTCAACTATTTAATGGAATTCAAATCTTGACACTTAAGATTCCTTCTAAATAATAGTCAAATCATTTTTAAATGTTCTTAAATCCTTTTTTCTGCTGACAAGATGCACTGTGAAACAAAGGCAGAATTCAAAAGCGAAAGTTTTGTTCTAATCCATATCATAGTTTCTAGTTTTCATTTTCCATGTAAGCAGTGTTGTATATTAATACTTAATTCAAAATATGGTTACACTATTTACAGCCTAATTAGCAAATGAATCCGCGTATATAATAGCTATAAATCGAAGGATATGGCAGTCTTAGACTGAGTGCATACCTAAGTTTGCGAGCATAGCGTTAAAATGTACACTTGTGTAAGTGACATCATCACTTTATATACAAGCAGCATGTATACATATTTCGACCCTATGAGGTATGCTCTCAGCTTAGGTATGCACGCAGTCTAAGATTGAGCAGAACGGAAATGAAACCAAATTTCCAGTTATGGAGAATTTTGAATTTTCCTGCACTTTCGTATCTACGCATACGATGTACCTTGCAAATAATTTCTTTTTGGTTTTTAGCTTTTCTTTTACAAAAGCTTTTTTAGAAAGCAACCAAAACAAATAATAGTACATATTTATTTGACTCTTTTTAAAACTTTCATTCATGTTAATTATAAGTATTCTAATTATATATGTTTATTACTTAGTTACGTTATAAATGTTGGTAGCTTAACTTTCTCATTTCATCTGCAACCCGTTGCGTTTTGTGTTATTCTACCATGGAATTTATTACCCATGCGGCTTGCTAAATTTTAGTTTTCCTGGTATTTCTGTTAGGCAGACCTTTATCTTTGGAAATACAATTATATATTGCTTAACAAATTAGTTGATTTAAAAGCAATTATGAATATTTCTTATTTTTAACAATGTTATCAATTAATACTTCTAATTATTGTAATTTATAATGTAAGTGATAATTCTTAAACATTTGCACCATTATTGTAATTAAAAAAGTTGCTTTAATTTCTAACAAGTACAGAATAGCCCAACAGTGGCAGAATAACAATCGTAATTTGACCCGGGGTATGAATCCCAGTGAACGGGCTGGCTGCACGGTCATTTTCGTAGTTTTTCCTCGCTTGTCATAACGTGGATACGAGCCAGTTTCTCTTACGGAAGTCCTCTACGATGGCATCGCTATCATTTGGCACAAAGCACTTGTGATTTGCCATAATTACATAAAGCAATCTATACAGAATAATTATTTTTGTGTCCCTTAACTATTAATTTTACGTTTGTTCTATTTTTAGCCAACATGTCAACACGAGAATTGTTTCACTTATTTCTACTCTGCTTATCCTGTTTCGAAGTTTTGTTTTGTGAGTATATTGGAAAAGATTCGTTCTCAAATCTCGCATCAATCGAAGAGGAAGCTTTCACCTCGGAGAATCCCAACTTTCTAGACGAATCGTTCACACGAAAGCTGAGAGTAGCCAAGACAGGAAGTCGATATTTGGAAGCATTCACCTCGGAGAATCCCAACTTTCTAGACGAATCGTTCACACGAAAGCTGAGAGTAGCCAAGACAGGAAGTCGATATTTGGAAGCATTCACCTCGGAGAATCCCAACTTTCTAGACGAATCGTTCACACGAAAGCTGAGAGTAGCCAAGACAGGAAGTCGATATTTGGAAGCATTCACCTCGGAGAATCCCAACTTTCTAGACGAATCGTTCACACGAAAGCTGAGAGTAGCCAAGACAGGAAGTCGATATTTGGAAGCATTCACCTCGGAGAATCCCAATTTTCTAAACGAATCGTTCACACGAAAGCTGAGAGTAGCCAAGACAGGAAGTCGATATTTGGAAGCATTCACCTCGGAGAATCCCAATTTTCTAAACGAATCGTTCACACGAACGCTGAAAGCAGCCCTGCAAGAAATTCGATATTTGAATAGAAAGCGAAAACCAAACAGAGGTGATACAGAGTTCCTCTTTGGCCTTATGGGAGATGACTTTCACGTAAGCAGTCTTAATTTGACTTTTATGTGAGTGAAATGAAATACATTGTATCATCTTCAAAAGAATCTTATGTTAATGATTAACGTGCGAAAATTTCATTTATATATTTTCATAGTTCTATTTGAACTTGTTGTATAACTTTTCATTCTTAATTGTTTCAGATGGTCTTATTAGCAATTTTACTTTATTTCATTTTAGAAACTATTATTAACTTCATTTGCATTTTCAATCTTTATAATTTCCTGCGCATCCGGGTATTTCCTTACAATTTTTGTATTTCCCGAGAGTATTTCGTCAAATATCATAGTACATATTTTTCTATAACATTTTTATTTCTTTAATACCTATAATTTAAATTCATAACTTAAAATTAATAAAATGATTATTTCACAAACATTTGCACCATTTTTCGTAATTAATAAAAGGAGTTCCCTGCTAAAAATGCCCCGTAGAAACCCATAAATTTTTTTTTTACGGGGAATTGACCTACGGGTACCCGTAGGCCAAATCCCTGTAAAAACCCATAGAAAGAAACCCGTACGCCAAATCCCCGTAAAAAGCCATAGAAAGAAACCTGTACGGTTGTACGGGTACCCGTAGGCCAAATACCCGTAAAAACCCATAGAAAGAAACCTGCATGGCTGTACGGGTACCTGTAGGCCAAATACCTGTAAACAGAAACCTGTACAATTGTACGGTTACGAGTAAGCCAAATCTCTGTAGAAACCTGTAGAACTGTAGGCACTATAAACAAAATCCCAGTAATAACTCATAGCCAAAAATCACAACTTTATATGCATATCCATTGGCCAAATTTCCACGGGTATTCATATACAGAATCCCTATAAAAACAATACACAAAAATAGAACTGTAAATCAAATTTCCATAAAAACGTAAACCAGCAGAAGTATATAATTAGCACTGAAATGTACAGAACTAAATGGCTGAGAAAGCATGTAAAGTAATTTTAAATAAAATTCAATGCAAATAAAATTTTTAAATATCTAGAAGCCTACGAGCCCCTGTCCTTAATGCACGTCAATATCTATAAACATATTACAAAATATTTGTATAAATTCTCTTTACAAAATTTTAAACTACCTTTATATAATTTTGAAAATAAAATGAAGAGAAAGATAATAACCAAAGTCATGATTCACAACCATCGAATGATATATGTACATATATATATAAGAAAAATAAGGAATAAGCAAAAGATTAAATTAGCAGCATAAAATTAATTTTCCTTCTCTATTCTAAAATCGGTAATCTTTCTGCACTGCATCACTTCAAGATTAATTCATGTCATGACTCTTACATAATTTGATGTTGTAAAAGGAACTAAAACAGCCAGTAGTAGTTTTATAGCAGCATTAACTATCAAATACGAGTAAAAATGCATCGAGAACCAAAATTAACTCGGTCTGAATTAAGATTTCACCCTTAACATAACGTATTTGCTTTTTACGCTTTGGCCTAGCTGGATTGCAGTCTGTCTGTTCCTTGTTTCTTACTACACATTTATCAAAAATGTTAATTTTTGGAATAGGCATAAATAATGTGCCAACTTGTTTGTGGTTGCAACATTTTCGCTGAAAGAAAAGTTGAATTAAATCTACCTCGACTGCCAAATTTCTTATTCATTGTGGATTGGAGTTTCAACATCTCTAAGCCGTCAAAATTTCTTGCTGTTCATTACGGATTCAGCTGCTTGTATTCGACTACAGAATCTATTATATATATATATATATATATAATTTCATTTGATGGTTGCGAATCATTACTTTGACTGTATATATTATTGATTTCATTATAAATATATACATATAGTATCTCACTGCATATATTTGTATTTCAGTTCTTTAATTGGGAAATTAAACAATTGTATTTAACCACATCAGCTTGTTTAACAATTTGATACCTAATGAGAAATGTATTGCCAAAGGATGGTACTTTCTAGCATCTGCTTAAATTTTAAGTTACCTACAGTGCACTAAACCAAATTAAAAAACAAAATTAGAAGGAACTCAAATTTTCAGGAAAAGAAACATTATTAACAAGCAAGCAAAAAGAATACGGGACTTGCAAATTAGAAACTTAACATAGAGTTCAAATTTAGCATACTTGCTACCCGTTAAGGCTCGCTTACCACTGATAGTAACACCCTACAGTTTATTATGACACGCATACACATAGATGTTTTGCGTGGAAGAAAGGATGAATCCTAGAATATAATGTAGTGAAGAAATAATAATGGCTAATCTTTGGAATATGGCAACAGGTAGTTTGGCGACATTTTGGTAAGGTTATAAAGGTTACTAGCTAGGACTTTAGCAGTGTACATGGATAAAGTCAAGAGTGTGCGCAATGCCATTTTTGTGCAATTCTGGGATGTTTTTTTTAAGTGAAAATAGGTCGACGTGTACATGGATGATACCGTGTATGTGCAATTCTTAAAAACGCGGCAAGCACTTTGCGATTCTGCGCTGTCTCCGAATTTCGCACCTAATCTTCGTCAGGATTAAGCATTTTTGTTCCATAAAAGTTCTAGTATAAGAGTAATTTGGCTAGCAGATTGTTGGAAAAAAATGTTGAGTTAAAAAAAAAAGCCCTTTACTTCGTGAAAACAAAATGGCGTCCAAAACAAAACTAGCAGGTTGCTGTAGGAGGGTTGGTCGCCAAATTTTTGCCAAAAAATCGCCAAGTTACCATAATCCAAAGATTAACCATAGTATACAAACACTGTGTCGACCTCTTATTACAATACTTTGAATGTTACCTGTATCTCTCAAAAGATAAATGAAACATGAAGATAACGTATAATACTAAATTTAGTATGCAAAGCGTATTGCGTTCGACAGTATAGAAGAGGTTCGAATCCCGCAACCGGGCTGGCAGCATGGGCGTTTTCGTGGTTTTTCCCATGTGTAACGTGTATACGAGCCAGTTTCCCTTAGAAAGTCCTCCACGAAGGTTTCCCTCCCCTTAGGCAGATAGCCCTAGTGTGCTTTGCCGTAATTAAATAAACCAAACCAAAGTTCAGTATAGAATAATAGCTCGCCGCCATCTACTTACGAATGTTTCAGGCTGATGTGTGAATCTTCGCTGAGTTAAGTAACTGTTCAGCAAACGAAAAAACAATATTCATTCTTTGTTATATATATTGTATATTCATGTTTGTGGTCTTTATTTTCATTCATTGCTTAACTTATATAGTAGCATTTTATTTGGCTTTTGGAATTTTCATTTTTGAATTTATCTCTACATTAATATGATTTTTTAAAAAAGCCAGTGTTAAAAGCTCCTTTAGTGTAAAGTAATTGGCATATGAACAACGGAGGTTTAATTTTTATGCAATGTTTACTGAATTATTAGATTACTGCATCTTCAGTCATATCAACTTCGTAAATGTTTGGTTTTCTTAAGTTGTTACGGATTTCGAAGGAATTAATGCAGAATATCTATTGCACTACCTATTGCGGATAACATTATTCAGGAAATGTTTCCTCCTAATCTGCCTAAATTCTAATAGCTAATTCTGCGCAGAGGTATCACTAGGCGGAATGGGCCAAATACCTTGGAAGCCTAGCTCTTGGTATGGTCATTTTAGGTGTTAAGGCTATTTCAGTATACCCAGCTAAAACATAGCACGCAGAAACTCTTCTTGGTGAACGGAAGTCACAATTTCGGAACTTTGAAGATCTTTCCACTTTTTCTTTAGCTATTACCTTTGCTCGTTCCCCCTCGTACATTCATGTGCAAAAGTAAGCGAATTTGCAAATTGTCCGTTTTTACGAAACTTATTGAACCAAGCGTAATTACTAATTAAACCGTCGAAGAATTATGCAATTATTCAGAGTCGAATACGTATGTGTAGGGATGCATAAATATCTGAGTGATTGTGGAGGAGATTTCGACGATTTGTCCGCTCTTATTCTTTCAGGACATTAACTGTGTTTCTCGCAAGAGTTAGAAAATTTTATAAGGTATCAGGTAAAATGAGTAGCCACGGAAGTATGGATGACTGAATGAGATTAAGAGTTGTATGTAGATTGGAGGCTGGGCAGCCAACAAACGCAGGTGGCTACAGAGCTTGGTGTAATGCCGTCTGCAATTTGTGGAAACACTTTTAGGATACTGAATACATATCGAGAAACCTGGAGAAGGTGGACTAATATTCGTAACGAAGAATGAGGATCATTATTTGCAACTATCTTTGCGGTGACAGAGCCCCTGAAACCCGAGTTTCAGGGTCTACAGTTGTTCGAGGACTTGATGACATACGGCGATATGTCAGAATAGCAACTGTTTGCGTCCCACCCACTGCAGCACGCAAGAAAGTGCATTCAGCATGGCGCAGAAAACATACGCCTTGGACCAGACTTCAGTGGACCTGACTTCAGATCCCCATTTCCCTGCTAATATGTTCATCGATGAGGCATCCTTTACAAAGGAACGAATATTCAACATACATAGCACCCATTTCTGGGCGATAGAGAACCTTCATGCAACACTGTGTTGTGCAGAGTCAGTTTTCGGTGAATGTTTAGCTTGGTATTGTGGATGATCATCTTATAATGTTCGTTAGTACTTTGTCTATGTTAAAATGTTCAGGAACCTAGTAAACTAAGTAGCGACTTATCGCTGAGTTCGAATATTTATTGCAGAATTTGGAGAAGGATTGAAATGCCCTTTTATTCACTCAAGTAATGATAACAGATGACCTCTTTTCAGGCGTACAGGAAAGCCTCTACTTGGGCTTTAACTCAAGAAAATAAGAAACTAATCTAATACTAAAACGAATTTAGCCGAAGCTAGGCACAAATACCTAACGTAGTTGGCCCTTAATTTAACCTAGCAGGGATTTATCAACAGGCACATGCAAATACGGCCAAGCGTAGTAGATTTAAGAACGAAGTAGCCAGACGTTAAACACGCGACACTAAGGACTCTCACCTTCATGTAATTATTTAAGGACGTTTGATACTTAAATACTCCTAATTCGCTTAAAACGCAATACTAATCTCATTCTGGCAAGGAATAGATGAGAAATGAGAATGGACAGTAAAGCATGTTTAAACTTAAAATAAGTGTTAGAAACTTAAAGTAATCTCTACAATCTAATGACGAATAGTTTGCTGCTTGTATGCAACAGACAATGTGGGTTCAACAGAATGGTGTCCCTGCCCATTTCAGCCGTAACTTTCGTACCCACCCTATATGTCGAAATTGCCCAAAAGTGGATTGGATGAAGTATTCCGGTGCATAGCCTTGCTCATTCATTGGACCTATCATATCTCGATTTCTTTTTGTGAGGTCGTATAAAGACACTGATTAGTGTCGCCCTCGTTGAAGATGTCTAGGAGCGGATTGCACGAATCGCAGTAGCTACCTGAGAAGTTAGATATGGCTGGAATATTTCAGGATATTCAGAACTCTATGCGCCGGAGATGTGAAGCCTGCATTGAAGTCGATGGCCAAAACTTCGAACATTCTCTTTGAGCTATGTTACTTTTGTTCATGTAAATTTATTATCAAAACTAATATCTTGCTTGCCATCATTTTATTCCTGATGTTTCTGTTTACACCACCGCATCAGGAAAGCGTTTCTAACCATGTAGGTTATACACCATACAGACTACTTAACGCGACAGATGAACAGCTTAATTCGCTTCGCGCTTTAGAACAGCATTTCAGATATGATTTGGAGAAAGATCACGATGAATTTTTTACTATGTTCTAATACTTGTGTAAACAGCATCATCTTTCATCTCATGTAAAGTCTCGTTATAAACTTTTCACATTGTGTAGGAGTTTTTGATCTCAACATCTTTAGCTTAGCATTTTCGGATTACTTTACGATGTGATCTACTTGTCATCCGTTTATGGCCGTTGTCACCGAAAAATGTTTTCACTGCCATACACTGACTGAACGTGTATATAACCAACGACCATGGATTAGGTGGTCATTGTTGTTCCTCAATGGTATATTCACTTTAAAAATATCCGTCAATTTGTTGCAATGCTTTCCAAAAATTGCATTATGAGAACCCTCAGTATGGATTCTAAAACTTAATTTTAAAATTTACCAAGTTTACTTCACTGCTATTGCTTATTCCCATGCCATTGAAACATAATGTATTAGATTCACACTAATAAAATCTCCCCACTACCCTCCCTGTCCTGCGTTGGTGATCACTGTAGGACATAACCAATAGAATTGACGTGTACTGTTGTCCTGGAGTTCAATGTCAATTTAAATGTCTCCTTAAATTGTGTCGTCTATCACCGTATCATTGGCTGACCAGCAGTTTTGGTGAACTTATAAGTCACCAGTAGCCAGTCGTTATGGCCACCACTTGGTGTGTTTATAGTTTTAAAATCTGTGCCAAATTAACTGCCGTGGTCTATGCTGGTAATCCACTGTTAACCAACAATGATAATCAATCTAGTAACTAACGGCATTGGCCAGCATCGAAGTCCTACGATTTAGTTTTAAATGAAAAATTTACCTAAATTTACTTCATCTTCTCAATAGCAATAGCAGTTCTAGTTAATAACATCTGATAAATTAAAATGCATTTTATCCATTTTAACAAAATAATAATGTTTATAATTTCATAATTTTATTAGCTGTTTCTGACGTCATACATTACGTACTTGTAAAGGTAACATTTTTTGCTTTTTGCATTTATGCATTTCTTATAAAGTGTTTATTTTCAGCCTGAATGGATGTCAGCAAGAAAGCCAAAGAAGCCCTGGAAAAACTTGCCATTGAGTGAATTAAGTGTAAATGTCTCTGAGGAGATCTTGGCTAAGCAGAAGCATTTAACGCTGTTTGAAAATGTCAATTTTACGAAAGAGCTTGCACATCTGCAACCGGATCTTTTGCCTTATGAAAACGAGATAAAATCTTGGTTGACAAAGAGAGCTTCATGTTCAGTTTTTTTTAGATGGAAGAGTCTAGGGCGTTCTTATTGGCCGTCATGGTTTCGTTATGGGTATTGCCTCCATCAGTATGAAAAGTGTTCCCTTCCGTTTGGTATGAGATGCTTACCCGCAGAAGCAATAGAACTGTATTTCTTGCGTTGGAAATGCTCGAAACGTATCAGAAGTCGTAGAGATGTAGGTAAGCTTGTTATCTATACAAATATAAAGAATAAACACAAGAAGGATTATGCATCAACTGAAAGGACAAGATGCTATTGGGAAAAAGTACGAATACCTATTACCGTGACCTGCCAATGCTCTTGCTAATTACCCTTTGACTAAATGGATATTTCTCGTTTCATTCTTTTGACAATAACGATAAACAGAGCTCAGTTTTGACTCCTTATCAAAGGAGAGGACTTCAACGTAGCCCAAAGTACAGCTTTCTGCACTTGTCTACCAACTTCTCTTTTTACCATATAAGTGCATATTAAACATATGCTAGTGTATTAAGAATGTAATTGGATTGTTTAATTTTTACTTGTTTAATGACTGTCTATTGGACTATGGCATTCTATGCAATTTCCCTGTTGTATCATGGCTGGATATACCGCTGTCTCGAGTACTGCGTATTTTACCAAAAATACATCCAAGTATTGTGATCAGAGAATAACGAACGCAGCAGCAAAGCAATTTTTTTTAGCAGTAATATTTCTGGTTGTGAATAATACAGTTCTGAAGTATAATGCGGACAAGTGGAAAACTTCATTCTGTGCGAGCTTCAAAGAATCAAATTCCTGCCGTTGCTTAAATTTACACTCGTATGTATTAGTAGTTAGTATTGTAGAATTTCTCTTCCAAAGAATAACTGTCTATGCTTTATTGCTAGTATGTTTTTGAATATAAGAATGCGAGAAAGAAACCAAAATTGCATAACTTTAATTCACTTCTTCCAGATATCAATTTCTCTTGGCTGTATTTCTGCGAACTGACTAAACAGCTGGCATTTAATTCAAACAGAAAATGATATTAAAATCACTAATTAAAGTGATCCTTTTCTCTTCATCTACCTAAACATTTTAATGAAGGAAATTTTTATCGTAAGCATGTGCCTTTTTAACACCAGTTTTAATATGTGCTTTGTAACAAGAAACGGGATTTTAGTTATAACACGACCACTCTTTTTTATAACGAGAGAATACTGTACTTAATGCAAATAAAAATTTTTTGTTATTTGATTATCTTCTCTTACTTGGAAATCAGAATCTCAGATGTTTCAAGTTGTCTTCTAAATTGTTCTTTTATTAATTCAAAACTAATGTATGAGAATTAACTACTTCTCATATTACATTTTTTTGAATAAAGGGAAAATTGAATTCCCGTATACGGCCTTAATTTTGCTACATGCTGGATAACTTAACGCGTTTAGCCTAAAGTGTTTTGTTTAAAATACTTATAATGGTACATAATCAAATTGCTGTGAGCTGGTTTCGCTAGATTTTCATATGGAATGCATTTAGTTTGATGTTGTCTAATTCACTATGAGACTGAATAGATGTGTAGGTTTGCCAACTGAACAATTATAATGTCCTGAAACATGTTGCTTGTACCAACTACAATAGATAACATCTTCAAAATATGTACCTGCACAACTATGTATGTCCCAATGTATATCATGTAATTTACTCCCTTTTACTTGAGCTAATTTAACACGAAAGGTAGGAGTACCGTTGATGCCGCCGCCGGTGGCAGTACTTAGTGTTCACTGGAGTCACAATTTCCATCACGACTCGAGGGATGATGCCAGAATGTTGTTAGTTTTCTAGTTAGTGTGTGGGGGCTAATACCTGCTTACTTAAAGTAAATATTAGGTGGCCCCCTCACTTCTACATAACATAACTGAACAATTAAATATATGCATCATACAAAGCAATATAAACGTTTATTAGAATATCATTTGCTTAAATTTGAATTGAGTTTGATTAAAATTTTTGAATATATTTAACCTAAAAAGGCATATATGTATCTATATTGTTGAGTGCATACGGGTTAGTTAGATTGAATGCTCACGGAATCTATGATAGTTTGATAAAACTTATTTCACCAGAAGAAACAATTCAGTTCTGAAACTTTCCATAAAAATACTCGCACTGCTCTATATATATCGGAGTACAATCAATCGCTTCAAACTACTAAGAACGTTCAATACAACGCAATACAGAGCGTATTTAAAGAGCGAAGCTATCTTAATACTCCGATTTCACGTTGAACTAAACATTTACCTAAAGAAATGCTTTCTCCGGTCTTATAGTTTTCTCCCGGCCGCAAAGAGATTTCTAATACCTTCCACTTCTCGAATTACTGGAAGGCATATGACTTCCGGATACGTTTATAGCAACATATAGCATCACTTAGTTATTCAATTATTTATACGTTGACCGGATCAAAATGTCGCTAAATGGTCGCAAAGTTTGCTGATTTTAGGCGACTTCTCGCCAAATTTGGTGAGTAGAATTAGTCACGAATACCGTCACTAGCTTAGCCATATCTCGCCAATTTAGCGAGACTGAGATTTACTCCATGTTAAATGGATTTCTCTCCATGTATTCTTAGGCCCACCAGCGGCCGAGCTGTAAAGTTGCTGAAGACTAGTAGTACGGTTCAAGGTTACTCCGAGAACGGGCTGACTCCATGGGCGTTTTCGTGATTTTTCCCCCATATGTAACGTGCATACGAGCCATTTTCCTTTAAAGTCCTCCACGAAAGCATCTTTTTCCTTAGGCAGATAGCCCTCGAGGCTTTACCATAATCACATAAACCAAAAAACAAAAACTCTATTTTTAATTTTCCGGCAAGGCAAAATAGAAAAAAATAAGTGTAATTTCACATATAATTTCACTAAAACTATTTACATACGTACAAAATTTGTAGCAATAGATTTATCACTTTAATTCCTGTCTTCAGTGCATGATTATATAATATATAATATTTGCCTTTGAAGAAAAGTGATCTGGATCTTAATCAGCCTCGAAATCAATAGTTTTTCAAAACCTAAGCTAAAGTTGCTGTTCAGCCTAACTTTACATTGGTAATGTTTTTAAAACTGAAATTTGTAAGCTTTAAGAATAAATAAAACTGGTTAATGGATATTTAGCTACTACAGTGTGGTACATTACCAGTGACACTAATCATGACTGCTTTCCAGCAACACTAATCATGACTGCTTTCCAGCAACACTAATCATGACTGCTTTCCAGCAACACTAATCATGACTGCTTTCCAGCAACACTAATCATGACTGCTTTCCAGCAACACTAATCATGACTGCTTTCCAGCAACACTAATCATGACTGCTTTCCAGCAACACTAATCATGACTGCTTTCCAGCAACACTAATCATGACTGCTTTCCAGTAACACTAATCAGGACTGCTTTCCAGTAACACTAATCAGGACTGCTTTCCAGCACTAATCATGACTGCTTTCCAGTGACAATTCTAGATCTTGTTCCAGAATTTTGTAAAAAAGACATTGCAACTGATTTGTAATTTTAAATCCAATTAACAAACTTAGTTAATTCCTCTTTCATTGTACGGGGAATGAGGAGGATCCTGGATTCAATTTTATTTCGGCTCTAAATAAAACTTCATATTAAAGAAACCCATTTTAATTATTTACTTAGCTTTTTTTTCTGTTTGGTAATTCCTGTTTCCATGGAATCACTGTAGCATCCAAATATTTAAAACCTCTGAATACTGGTAGTTCGCCGCGAGTTCAAACCCAGGCGAACGGATTGGCTTCACGATTAGTATTTGTTTTCCCCACGTGTAATATGAATGCATTTCCTTTAAAAATTCTTTCACGAATGCATCCATCCCTTTACGCTGATACACCTCGCGTGCTTTGCCGTGTTCCAGTAATCAAACCTAACCTTATACCACACAATGTTATCGTTTGTTCTTCTTATCTTAAAATTTCTATTTTTTGCATCATGCGTTTATTAAATCTAGGGAAATGTGAAACAAAAGCAGCCTGATATTTCGAAACGTCAATGCTAGAAGACTCGTCCGTGTTCCCGTTATCATACCACGCTGGCATAAAAGGCGATGAACTGTTACTAAAATTGCTACCACAATGTCTAATTCCCAGATCCTACTCGGACACAGGGCGATGCTCAAACGTAAAATTTTTAATAAATAGCAGATGCACTCGGATAGCCAAACAAACATGTTGAGAAATGTTAATGGCAGATAGAAGGGAGCAAGTTACCTTAACTCTGTTGAGAATAGGTCATTTTGGATTGACTCGCGAATATCTGCTGAAAGGTGAAAAGATTCCCTGTTGCGCAAACTAATGCAGATCTGAGAGTCCGCTATATTTTATTAGAATGTCATACTTTTAATTATTTTCGCCAAAAATATATTCATTGTTTAAAACTATATTTAAAAGTAAGTCTTAATGGGGGAAAAATCATCATCACAAGTTTATTTTACCCTTTGTTTGGCTTAGATAATCTCTTAAGGTTTTTGTACCAGAAATTACAATAAATCGTATAAAATCAAGGCAGTTATCATATACTGAAACTCCATGATAGATTAAACGGTTATTTGAATATATCCAAGTTAAGGCTGTCGGTCTAAGAGGTTTAGTTTAATTTAATTTATTGAATTACGACAAAGCATACTAGAATTTTCTGCCAAAATAAAGGGTACCTTCGTAGAGGGCTATCGAAGGGAAACTGACTTGTATACTCATTACAGATGTGGAAAACCGTGAAAGACCATGCAACCAGTCCGCTGGCCTGGAATCGAAACCATGTCGGAACTAGCAGTATTGAGTAACTTTACTGCTTGGCCGCTGGTGGGCCTCGTCTAAGAAAAGGGTTGCTTTCATGGAGAATTTTCTGAGGGAAACTTTAAGTAATCGTCTTGCATATGGGGAAAATAACCATGCAGCCAGCCTATCCGCCTGAACTTGAACTACCAGCATTCAGGGCACTTAACCACTCGGTGAATGTTGGGGTAGTGTACACGATGGAAGTATATTAACAACCGTGAGAAGAGTATAAAAAATAAAAACTGGTTTGAAGGAAGTCATCTTCCTGATTATTTAGCAGAAAATTCATGTAGAAGCAGAGACTCTAGTTGCCGGGAATAACAATCTGATGATGCGATTTGAATCCAACTGCCAAACGCCTACGGGAAAGGGAAAGTCCTGTTTAATTAATCTGCTGATGTCGAAAATACTTTTCATACCGAAATGCGCCAGCTACTATACTACTTTGAAAATTCAACGGGAATTCACTCAATTCCATCTATAGAAATTTATTTAGTACTAGGTTCTGACTTTTATTCTTGTTGATAGAATGAAAAAAAGGTGTAACTTGAACTTCCATGTTTACTTTCCAATATTTAATCGTTCCATTCCAGAAAAAGGATATTCGAGAGAGTAAATGAAATCTGCTTTTCTTCCAGTAGAGAACAAGCTTTCTTAAGATACAGATAATGATAGATTAAAACTGTCGGGGATAAAAGATAATGCTGGCATAAAGATAATCATGCAGAATTATGATGAGTTTATTAGATTTAATATTTGAATTGTATTTCTTTTATTATTTTTCAGTGGTAACTCTGTCGAGCATAGGCATAAATATGGAAATTATATCCATCTCTACACAGATGGGTCAAAACTCGAGATCACGTTAGTGCAGCTTTTCAAGTGGAAAACGTTATTGAGTTTTGGCGACACCCAGTCAGCTCGTTTTTCACTTCTAAACTTGCTGCTGTATCAGGCTTTAATCTTCTCTCGAAACAACATTGTTGGAATTTTATTATCTACAGCAGGGTTTCGTAAATTTTTTCCAGTCGCGACCCATTTTTATCACTCAGATTTTTTCGCGACCCCCAGGACCCCATAATATTTACAAAAATTTTGTTGAACCCCATAAGTATTGCGCAAGTCCGACACGCGTGAGTGAAGGTGTAAATTTTTTGTACTGTAATTAACTTCAATTTCTAATTTTAAGACGTAGAACAATGTGAAAATTTTAAATAAGTAACAAGCGAAATGACAGCGTAACGAGCAAAGCAAGGAAAATGAACGTTTATATTACAAAAAGAATGCGTCGAAACGTTTTCGTTTTTTTTTTCTTTGTCTGTGTTGTATCTTTATCTATTTTCAGGTACACTGTGCAAAAATATTTGAAAATTGTAAAATTATTATAAGTTAAAGAAATATCA